TCTTCAATTTATCTTCGATTTACGTCTTGATTCAAACGCTGTTATACTTCATTATAGAATTACCTTTCTTGGCTTGTATTCCTTTGCTTCACCATAAAACTCATCAATATCCTCTAAAAAATCTTATCAAAAACACGAAATACAATTTATATAAACCCAATTTATTTTGATTAATTTCATCTGAAATTTAAGTTTAATAATAAACAATGATTTTCAATTTACTTTTTGTTTTGTTTCTCGTGTACTTCTTGTAAAGAATTTGACGTATTCTTTACGATAAGTTTTGAATGATTGTTAAATTCTTCAATTTATCTTCGCTTTACGTCTTGATTCAAACACTGTTGTACTTCATTGTAGAATTAAATATGGTTTGTTTTGCTTTACGTCGATATAAACGTTACTTATATTCTTGTTGTTTACGTATTTCATTTAATAGAAAATTCGTAAAATATATTTTTTAAAAAAAGTTCAAATTAAATAAATCTTCAATCGCTACAAAATATTAGATCTTTAAATATAAATTATGAAGAATATTGAAGATTTTATTACGATTAAATCAATTTTCGTTATAATAATTTAAAATATAGACTAATTTCTTAAGGAATTCAAAAAACACAATAAAATTAATCGAAAATCAAACTAATTCTTGTAAAAATCATATTAAATTGTGTTAACGTATTGAAAAACTAAATAATTTCTCGGTAAAATCACGGAGTTAGAATGTATATTTCTTTTAAATTGTTGATTACAAAAAAAAATGTATAATAAATATATATTTTTTTCAAATTGAAAGCAACAAAAGTTGAAAAATTTTACTTTAAAACAAAATTTAGATATATTAAAATAAAAATTTATAACGTTTTATACTTACATTTGAATAATTTTGTGTGAAAATCAAAATATATATACTTTCTACTACAAGCAACAATTTTGTATAGTTAAGAACTCAATTTGAAATTTGTATAAAATTGATAGGATTCTATTTCGTATGAATATAATATGAATATGAAATAAATATAGAGTTAATTGAAAATCATAATATTTCTTGTAAAAAGTCATCTGTAATGTAAATTTCCAACCGATTTGACTATATTAATCATATAAAACTAGAATCATATATATAATATATCAGAAATTGCACAGAATTAGAGTTAAATTAAGAAATATATTCTTAAGTTTTTGATCCAAAAAATTATAAAATTCTCACAAATTTACTTTATATTTATTTCTTAGATTTATAATCTGTTCCGCCAATATTCCGTACTATATGAAACCAGACTTTAAAAGCTTATAAACTGACCAAAAATTAACTATAGAAAAACGATTATTCATTTGTGTGTTCTACTTTATTTAGATTTATTTTTTGATCTTTTGATTAATTTTATACGAAAATTAATTAAATAAACTTCAAAATTTTAGCTAAAATATAAAAATATGACTTGAAAAACATTAAATTGCAAAAAATATTGCAAAAATTGTCGAAAATAAATCAAAATTATTCTTAAATAAAACTACAAATGAATGCAGAATTTAAAATTTATATGAACTAATAAAGACTAAGTTTATTTATTTTTTGTTACTACTTGAATCTAATAAATTTCGTGTAAAAAATCTATTAAACTTAATTTCAAACTGAAAGATAATTCTAGTATTTCAAAACTTGATATTTTTTACCAAATAACATTTTGTAATTAATTTATAAAAGTAACATATATTTCTATGTAAAAACAAATTGTTAATAGAGTTTAATAGAAATTGCCTTAAAATTGAAAAAAAAACAATAGAAATTTAAAGTAAAGTAAATAAACAATTTTCATACATTTCTCAATTGAAATATTTAACTTTAATCTACTTTAATTATAGATAATGTAAAAATTAGATTATTTCTCTATAAAATAAATATCCTAATATTCTTGAGACAAAAAACTTATTATACCAGTACATTTATTTACTTATTTTCTAATTTTCAAAAGAAATATTTTTAATTCACAAAATATTAGCTAATTTTGTGTAAATTTGTGATCAAAAACTTAAGAATTGGATAACAATTTTCATGTTTTTTTTTTCACAAAGTTTTATAAATTATTGTTTTGATCTTGTTTAATTGAAATTGAATTAAAATTGGAAAATATAGTAAAAAATATAGTCAGTAAATTATAGACAATTTTAATGTAGTTGAATTAAATATAAATGTAAAAATATATATTATTTTTATATAAAACTTACATCCCAATATTCTTTAAAGAAAAAACAGAAATTCGTGAAAAGAACCGATGTTTTATAACAATTTTATTGACAATAATAACGTTCATATCATTTTTTTTCCACCGTCGATTTGTTGATAAATGTGTCGAAAGAATGTTATGTTCTGTTACGCGAATAAAACGGGCTGTTTTCACTTGATACTTTAGTTTGTGTGTGTGTGTTGTGTGTTCGTTCCTTCTTTCTGAAATTTTATGTGCGTCGCATAACGAAAACGGTGCTACTACCATAAAGTTACGTTACGCTCGTAAAACTCGAATATCTTCACTACGCAAATAAATACGTTACGATTACGCAATAAATCCGCTCGGTGAGCCTTAGTTAACTGCGAATCGACGGCCGATCATTTCCATTCAATTCACCAACATCAATACAAAATAGATAAATAAAAATGTAAAATAATATGAAATTTATAGCAAAATATTATTGAACATATAAAAATTATACGTAAATTGAAAAAATAATGAACTTTTATGAAGCAATATATTGGTAATTTATATTAATTAATAAAATTCTATTGAAATTATACCTTTCATAGTGCGGCTTCGATTAGCCCGGATTCACTATAGACCAAAAAATAAATCTAAATAAAATACAACATACAAATGAATAATCTACTATAAACTATATTTTTGGTCAGTTTATAAGCTTTTAAAGTTCTCAACTAGTCTAGTTTCATAGAGTGCGGAAAATTGGCGGAACAGAATATAAATTTAAGAAAGAAATAAATGTGTAAGAATTTTATACTTAAAAATTTATTTCTATAATAACGTAGCTACAAATAAGATAATACATCAATGAATTAAATAAAAAAAATGAGTTAAAATTTCTAGTTATTTTTTAAACGAATTTTTATAAGTTTATGTAGATGTAATTGATTTATCTTATTTCATATAAGTTTAATATTGTACTCTTAAATAATTTAATACAATATTTCAAGTATTGTAAGTTAATATATTTTTTTTTAACTGTACATGAAATATTATAGAGAATGAACAAGGTTGAATCCATTCTTAAAGTAAAATGAAGAAAGTCGTATATGTGAATAAATGAACTTATTATTCAAAGTATCTGAAAGGAATGTTAATCAAACGCGTTTCAATAATATTATGCACAATTACGAAAATGCAAATTGAAAATTATTTCGTAATTGCATTCGTGTTATGATTGATTAATCATTGGCCTTTCGTCAAATTAAGAAATCGATTTAAACGCTGCATAAAAGATTTACAATTATTCACAAATCAACAAAAGAATTAGTTAACAAATAAAAAAAAATGAAGTTTCAAACACGATTGATTTTTTTTTCTATAACATTAATAGTTAATTTGTTAGTAAAAGTATAAAAAT